GCCCGGATCCGTGTCCTTTGCCCAGGCCGCCCGCCTGCCTCTCTGAGCTCGTGGGAAAAGCAGGTTCCCACGCAGGAACGCCTGCGCGAAGCGGCGGGGGCCTCCCTTTCTCACCGTCCGCATCCCGACATGATGTCCTGCTTTTCCCGCTGTGAGATGAAGGCTCATTTAGCCATTTCCCCCAGTTGGGGCACATTAAGGTCTTTTTGTTTTCTTTTTCTTTTCCAGCATTCCATCCATGGTAGATAGTGAATGGTGGAATCAAGAGATCTCTAATGCAATCCTATTTAAAAGGTACCGGCGACCCCATATTGGTAAAATTTGTTGTTGTGTGTTATGTGTTTTTTTTTTTTCGTTTAATGACAGTCGGGGGGAGGGGGAGCACGTTATGTTACAGATGGAGGTGCAAACGGGATCATTTATCCAAATGACTGGAAATGTTTCAAACACCTTTAAAATGTATTAGACCCACGCCCGGCCCTCACATGCCCGGGTTGCAGGCTGGCTCCCCAGTGTGGGGCGTGCAGGAGGCAGCTGATCAATCATTCTGTCTCGTCATTGACGTTTCTATCGCTCCCTCCCTCTCCCTTCCTCTCTGAAATCAATAAAAATATATTTTAAAAAAAATAATAGTAGACACAACAAATGAATGTTTCTCAAAATCAATCAATAAAAATTTTTTTCTAAAATAAATATGTATTCCTCTTGTAGCCAAGGTTTTTTAATTCAAAAAAAATCCAAAGGCAGTAAATATGCACTGAAACTTGACAAAATGCTTTCAATGTTGAGAGGAGTACCAAAGCAAATTCTAAAACAGACCAAGAATGAGGGGGCCTAGCTCTACCAACTATCAAAACCTACTGTGAGAGTCACATTGTCATTATAGAAGACCTACTGAAATATAATGGCTAATTGAAATCTATATATATAAAAGGCTAATATGCAAAGTGTCCCCTCAGGAGTTCGACTAGGAGACTGGGTTTCGATTGCTCGCTATGACGTGTGCTGACCACCAGGGTGCAGCACGGAACAAAGGAAGGCCCCAGCCAGCAGCCAGAAGACCCCTATTGGCCCTGATCACCGGCCAGGCCTAGGGACCCTACCCGTGCATGAATTTCATGCACTGGGCCTCTAGTATAAAATAATTTACTATGTGATGTGGGAGACATGATAATCTGACAGTGGGGGAAAATTCAATAAATATGTTGGGATAACTGGTTAGCAATTTGAAATTAAGCAATTTAGTTATCTCACTTTATATCCTTCTACAAATTAAAGGTAAAGTGGATTAGAGACTTAAATATAAAACTAGATAATAACCAAAATGAAAGAAAATGAAGTTGAGTAACATCTGAAAAGAGACTATGTTAGAAGCAATAAAAATCACAAACCAACAGCTCTATATAAAGACTTTATATTTGTAAAACCAATTTTTAAACATGGAGAAAAAATAAAAATGAACAAATAAAGATGGAAAAGTTGTTAAAATATGGCAAATGGTTGTATTTTAAAATAGAAATAACTGTGATAAACCAAAATGAGCTACTCCCTTAGTAGATAAATGGGCAAAGAAACTGAATAACAAAAGAGGAAATACATCTAGGAAATGAACATTTTAAAAAAATGTTTAAGCTCACTATTAATGGGGGAAAGGCTAAATAAAATAAAGTATTAACTTCAAAATTAAAATATTTTCACCTTATTAAATACAATTTTCAAAAGTGTTAGCATATCCATTTCTGGCAAGGGTAGCATGAAAATGTCCTCTCCTACTTTACTAGTGAAATTATAGTTTAGAACAACCCTTTTGGAAAGCAATTTGGCTATATAACAAACCTTTACAAAAAATTCCTCGATTCTCAGTAACCTGATTCCTGGAAATCTGTCCCTAAAGAAATCACTCAAACATATTGTGGGGAG